AGAAATGTTAGCAACTCAATGACGAACAGACTAGGCGTAGACCCCACTTTCGTAAGTGTCACCGACTAAAAATTTAGCTGCGTTGATCTACAGAAGAACATAAAATGTTTACGGAATCTTTAGTTATAGCTATTTGAGCACGTACTGCCAACCATCTGAGCAATGATGTCAAAATTACGAATGCAAAAACTCTTTTCATAACTCAAAGTGCTGGATAGTCACCGGACTAACAAGGAAACGATACTCGGTGTCCGTGGCCTTTTGAGATGAGTTGTATACCATTATACTCGTCTTGGAACGCTGTCTCCGAATCTGACTTCCGTTTCTGCTAATCGCTTCAAAGATGCTATAAAGGATTGTGCAGGCTTTGGCTGCCCATTGCAATACGTTCGGAGCGTCAACAACGGTGCGGTGTGGTCTAGTGGTTAGTGCGATAGGCTCATGAGTTGATGTAGGTGTAGATTGGAACCTTTTCCTGTTTTTCAGTTTTGCATTGCCTCAATAAACTTTCTTTCGTATCTTCGAGCTGAACGCCCTTACTCTTCAAAAAATTTGGAAAAAATGATTACTATTTGCGCTAAAATGTATCCAATGATCATAATTCGAAAAAATCTCGAACAAGTTTAGTTGAGGCAGTGCAAAATAAAAACACAAAAGAATTTGAACCTACACCTGCATCAAGTTATGAGGCTATCACACTAACCACTAGACAATAACTGGCGGGTAGAGGCCGTTCCGGTGACCATAGCCTTGGGCGGCCGAAGTTGGCTCGAGATTCTTCCATAACTTCTTTCAGAGAAATGATTAGCAGAAAAAGAGGTCAGATTCGGAATCACCGTTCAAAGACGAGTGTAATGGTATATATCTCGTCTTAAAAGGCCACGGACATTGAGTATCATTCCCTTGTAAGACGAGTGCATTTAAATGAGAAAGTTCCGATTATTGGCTCTGTAGGCAGTTGCATGAGCTTTGTGTCAGGGCAGTTTATGTTATTACAATGTCTACTTTCCTTAGAAAGCTAGATCTGGTATCTCTAGCGGAAGGGAGAAAATTTCGAAAACGACTTTTTACTGCTGTGTAATTAGTAGGTAAATATTATGTAAGTTTTGAGAATTTTAACATTTCCGTCAACAGATACCCTAATTTCACGCGTACAAGAATTTCAGATTCGTATGAGGGGGCGGGAGAGGTAAAAGTCTTTTAATCTATTTATGATGACTATCAGGACGTAAATTGATTGACTTTGATGCTTTTCCATCATCTAAGAACGAACTATCACTTATTTAGGGTCTCCTGATGTTTCATCAGGTTATTCACAATCAGATCAAGAAATATGATCTGAATATCTCTATTCCTAAGATCCAATGAACGAGCAGCGCTGGCCAAAGTGGACTATGCACAATCTCTGTACATATCTCTCCAAAATGCAAAAAAGCAACAGAATGATAAACAGAAGCAAAGATGGCTTCGATATTGGTTCAGGAGAACTGCCAGAATCGCATACTATTTGCACAAAAGTCAGGTGCGTGCAGGAATGGCAATTATCCTATTTTCAGGTGTATAAGCCGCGGGGTGGTCCTAGCTTACATCGAGCAGCCCGAACACATCAATGGACCTCGCATCCAAAGGACCCTGTAGTTTACTGCGTATTGCCTGAAAGTATCGTGCGGTATAAGGATCGCTTCTCGAAACACAATGAAGCGGCTGAGCAGCCCGGGCGAAAATTTGAAAAAGTGCGGCTTATACACCTGAAAATAGGGTGTTTAGTTATTCTTTTTTCGCATATCTGTTCAGAGTCCGAACAAGTTGCAATCATGAGAGGGATGGCCAATAGCAAGCAATTTTGCAGAGAATCAAATGACATTGAAAGTTTGTCTTCAACAAATTACAATTAAGCCACTGATTCGGGTGGAAGAGATTGGCTGCAAAGCATTAATCTTGTCAAAACCATCGAGACCTCATAACTAGGCTCAAAATAAATTTCGCAAGGTCCAGCAATGATATTTGCGCATGGGAATGAATTCGCCAGCAGCGCTGTGTTCGCGGATTGCAATATTTTTAAATAAGACAAAACGGTCCTTTGCACAGACCGAGACTTACCGCGTTAGGATCAACATCCGCGCAATTGGTGCCCACTGGCAGAATCCTTTCCTCCACCTATGATATTTGGGAAGAAAATGTTAAAGGATTGAGAACCAACAAACGGTCAAAATTCACTTCTATCAAAAGGGTTCTCAGTGAATCGCCGCCACGGTTGCCACTGTACTGCCGCATGCCCGGAATTCAAGATACTTGGTAATTTTCTCAGCTTTCTCAGTTTTATTTTGCTGCGATTGGTGAAACATGAGTCAGAATCGCTACGATTTGTCGCGATCTTTACGTCGGGGCAAAGTGAATTGTTATTGAGGTTATTCGATTCCTTGTAGCCTTGATTCTCTTTTAAATATTCTTATTCGATCTTGTGAAGTTCATTTGGAACCAGGTTATAGAGTCCCGAGGGCTTCATCAAGATTGATACCTCGCAACTTGTTTTTCTATCTGAGTTAGGGGCTTAACTGAGGATTAAGGATGGACTGATTTGCACCATGATTTTGCTGGACACAGAAGAAAAGCTCGAAAAAAATTTTGTCTCTATAAATTAAATTACTATTCTGCAATAAACGAATCGACGGATACACCGCTAGCCAAGACTGTAGTGCCTCATACAGAATACAGTATGACATCGTTGTTGTCAAGCTACGTTTTATAGCACCATAAATCTAAAAGGAAGCTTAGTTTGGTAAATATATGCATGGTGCGCTTGTTTGATGCGGTACAAGACTTTCTAAAGATAGGTAAGCTATATGAAAGCTTCAGAAGGAGACGTGTACCATCCAAAAAAACTAAAGGGTAAAAAAGGGACTGGTCCAGCAAGCAAAGCACTTGCCCGAGGGAACAATGATGAACATCACTTCAATGGAGGAGGGACTGCGTTTTATGTGCATAAAGCGAGGGTCAAGTAAAATTAGGATTTCATGAAATCTTGAACAATCTGTGAATTATTGTTTTGTTATACGACTTTATCTTTTACTTTGTAGAAAAGTGACAATATCAGTTTGGAAAAGTCTGGAATGTTACATTTGAATTTACCTACATTTTAGAGAAAGTTTACAAGGTTTCAAAAGTCTTTTTTTACACATTTCACAATATTCTGTATAAAACCTGATTTCACATCAGTAAACCTTAGCATTTTTATTACCATCTGTCCCGATCTAAGCACATCGCCTGCCTCGCTTTGTTGTAAGAATTGCTGAAAGCGGTCTCTTTTATAGAGCTATCTTTTTCTGCCATGAGTGTTTCTATGGAAAGATCGCATAGTCCCTTAAAAAAGGTGCCAAGCGAATTTTGGTTAAATCATATGTGGTAACGAAAGTCTCGCTAAGGTAGCCCAAGCGACAATTCATATGATTCTAGCCAAAATCGTTTGAATCTCCAGCTCTTCTTTCTGAGCGGGCCAATCAGCGTCCCTGATTACGGTGAAAAATCAGTCTGAGCTGGAGAATGAAGGGGACTCTCACAAATACATCTAAAGCAAAGAGTTATCGCTTAACCAGGCCGAAGGAAGTTTTTAATTCTGCGTAGCTACCGAGTTTCGGAACTCTGACTTCGGTATTCGCAAAACTAAGATTTTTCCAAAACAAAAAGATAAAATCTAAAAGTTTGCCAAGCTACAAATGACCTATTTATTACAGTGCAAAAGTGCTGTGGCTCAATTTTTTGAAAAATCTCAGCAGATTTGCATAGATTTTATTAGATAGGAAAGTTATTTTCTTTGTAAAAGTGTCTTTACTGGTCTTCAAGAAAGGTAGATTTTTGAGTACAAGCAGAGGATAGATACTTTTGCGTCGAGCATTTCAATTTAGGCTGACAAGAATTTGAATCTTGCGCTAAATTCCGGAGAAGCAGTTGTATATTTTAGGTTTCATCCTCCCCGATTCTGCAGAGAGTGTGTTGATATTTGATTTTTTGGAGAGTTATGATTTTCGAGCAAGCATTACATGACAGCAAATCTAAATTTTTTCGGTTCCTTCTAGAAACTCAAAACCCGCAATCTAATTCAGGATAACCAAAGTTGTAATGAATTTATTCTCCTGCTTCCACCGCGGAAGCTTACTCTGCAACTAAAAATGATTTTTCTTCCGACAAATTAAATTGTAACACGTCGAGAGAGCAAGAAGTCATGATTTCTTGATGGTGCGACAAACTTTTGTATCAACCTATTTTCTTGCCCCAAAACATAATGGAAGCACAAAAGCTTTCACTGGAGCCTGAGAACCCAGCAAGGTTAGGTCGTTGCTCTCAAGACTTCTGAAATTCGTGAATTCTGTTCAGTGAAAGGCAAGTTCTTGTGGTCATTGTAACTCACACATTCAAGTCTGCCCTATACTTCTCACAAACAGAAAAAGAATAAGTGAACCTAATACAGTCGAGCGAACATTGGTTAGCCTTCACCAACGAAGATATCCAGATTTAGTTCTCCTCTTTTACCGTCCCCAAACCGTCCTTTTGCTTTCAGTACTCTTTGAAACTCTCACATCGGTATTTGTATCCAATGACTTCCACTCTCGCATCATTCCAGTTATTTCAGCACTCACACCACTTTGAAACTATATCTACAAAAAAACTAAGAGTAACGTAGGGACATTGATAGAAGAGTTCTCATTTATCATCTAGAGTTTCGTTTTTTTTTCAGAAATTACGATTACTACATCGTCTACGCTTTTTATTTCTTTAGATAACTTCTGTCAAAAGGTCAGTAACGAATAAGTCAAATGCTTTTCTTCGGAATAAAAAAACTGCCTTAGGTTTTCTGAAAGAATTTGATTTTTCGTGTATAGCATGAAACGATGTTAGCAACTGAATAACAGACTGCTTAGCTAACTTTTTTTTCTGAAAATTCTGGATATCACATGCTTGCATCAAGTTAAACAGATTTCTAAACATTTGATGTTACGTCAAAGATGGTGTCACGCCCACAGCGGCTGCATAAAAACGGGCGAATCTCGAATAGTTCGAAAATCTACAAAATGTTCCTCTTTTCGATTTTGCTTGTAACGGTAAGGACTCTCTTACAAGCCGTTTAAAGAGCCATTACTAAATTACAATAAATTTTAATTTTCAGGCAATATTAGTGCCTTCAGCTTCGTCAGAAGGTTGGTTAGAACATCCGACAAAGCTATACTCCAAATATAATCATTTACAGCGTATTGCCCTGATGGTCAACTCGAAAAGTCGATTATCGATTCTATACTAGACCTTATCAATGATAAACGATCAACGTTGGCAAAGGGAAAATTGGATGACGGTAGTTCACCGGCTGCGGTTAAGTTTCCAAAAGCGAAAGCAATGAACAAACTTGTAAGTGCATTGTATTTTATGCAGGTATCAAAAATTAGCACTTAGGCTTAAAGGTGAGAGCTCCCGAATTCTAATCTTCATTTGGCCTAAGTATCTCAGCTCCGAATAGTAGTCTTTTCACAAGATACACTATTATATAAAGCTCCGTAAAAGCTTTGCAATAACAACTTAGGAATGGGGCTGCAATCTGGAGGAAAAAGCGATACAAAAATTAGGACTCGACTGTGCAATTTCGACAGCACCTGCAGTTAACAATAAAGCAGTGCTCTTCTATGCGTAAGCAATCACTAACAGACTTTTCATCTGTAGTTAATGTGCCGTGGCCTTGGTAATGGATTAAATATCCATCTATCTAATTCAGCAAATTCTCAAACGTTTCGAAAGTGAATGGTGACGGCACATTTATAGCTGTTTACTTTCATGTGTGAAGATCATATTACGACGTAAATTTTAGCGATGATGATAAATTCGGGCTTCCGCCGAGCTTTGCCGTCGCCAACTGGTTAAAGGAGCATCGCGCGGCTGCGTTTACAGGCCTCAGTGCGGGCGCCACTGACGTCAAAAGGCCTGCTACCGGTTTCGATAATTTCGCTAATGTTAGTTTCTGTGTGATTGAGTTCGACACGACATCAACAAGATAATGTCAACATATTTCAGCTTATGAATGAGAAAACGACAAAAATAGGCTGTGCAGAGCTCATTTGTAAAAACGGAAAAAAGAGACCCCTGTTATGCCTAACAAACAAACCGTAAGCTTTCTTCCGCAGATTTGCTTGTTGCGTGGATAACGAAGAATTTGCAAGCCTCAAGCTAAATGTCAGGTTTTCTGGAAAAGATTGTGTAAAGACTGTTCAACCGTGAGGCTAAATTTCTCAAATATTCAAACATTTACAATTACAATTTGGTGCTTGTTACGATCCAAGAACAACAAGCCCGTAGTCAAGCAAACCATTAGATAGAACGTACCAGATGAATTTATCCAGTATTTTTGGAGATCACTTGAGCCAGAAGTCCTATGCTTCTCCGGTACAGTTTTTAGAGCGCATATGATAGAAATCATTGGATTTTTTTTAATTCGGCTTGGCTTTGAAGAAGTTTGACGAAATCTTCGATTTTCCCAATGAATTTTGATTTCGTTAATCAAGCAAATACCGGCGATTCGTAGCATGCAATGATGGGGACGTCTCGGCGTCTTTTTGATGGAACGCTTCGTTTCACCTACCATCTGCTGTCTCTCTTATGCACCAAATATCGCGGTGGGACGCAATGGTGCCCAATCTTTGCGTGTCATAAATCGCCTATGCATATGCAGTTCTGTCTGCGACTAAAACAGCTTTACTTGCTTTTGAGCCTTTTTTGGCCGCTCTCAAATAGTACATCACAGAAACTAAAGCTATGTTATTTATAGCCTAATTGCTAAGGATGAAGTTATCTATACGGTTGATGCAACAAAAGCCTGTAGTGGTTGTAACAAAAACACTAGACCGTGCAACAAAGAAACAAAATTGTGCGAAGCGCCCGAGCAATCAACCACAGAATCCACAACACCCTCAGGTACGTATTTGTAGAATTCTAAAATTCTGACTATACAGGCGTTTAGGCCTCTAACGAAATCAAACTAAACATGCGCTCGCGGTACTGTGAATAATCAAACAGTTACTCTGCACTTATCAGTGGCCATGCATCTTGTCTCCTCCTGGCGAGGGACTAAAAGCATGTACATACCATTACAAAGGGCAGCAGGGAAATTTTTTGGTCTCTTTTACTACATACTAAAGCGAATGGTCTAATCGAAGCATCAAAGATACCAAATCCTTTTGATCTCATTTTTCAAACTCAAAACATGAATTTCTCTCTGAGGGCTAGGCTAAAGTAGGGCTAAAACGTAACTCACTTTCACATCTTATATTGCTTTTTCACATATGTCAAAAGTAATTACAGGTAAGTGTAGGGTGCTCGGTCTCTGCTTACAACTAAGCTGTCGAAGGCAAAAAATTTGCCGTGTATAACCATAAAAGGCAACAGGATTCCCAGAACTTTTATTTGGGGACAGGGAAAAATTTAGGTATTCACAAAGCAAGAGAAGAGTAGACAGTTGAAAAAGTTCCAAAACCAACTTGCTCTCATGTAGTACCATTAAAGATTGACAAAGCGTTTATTTAGTCAATATCTTTGTCTCTGATTTCCTCAGAAAAATGTCGAACCGTTTATCTTATTTGATTAAATATCAGGTTGAACGTAAGTCTTGAAACACTCTAAATTCTTCCGGTGATAAGTCGTACACTTCACATTTTCAATAGGGGTCCAGGGCACCGTTTGATAAAGCAAAGCAAGCTCTACAAGATGTTTTGCAAAAGTTCGCACAAGCTTCGACTGTGTAATTTTGCCTCCAGAACCGAGTCGTACTAAGGCTTAAAAAATCACGAAAAATTCATATCTTTCAAAAAAATTCAAAGTTTAAAAAAAATCCTCCGCATCTCAAACTTGCTCATAAAAATTACACACTACATCAGACACTCACATGTACCATTCTCGTATTTTTGCTTCTTCTAGGAATCAAGAAAAAGAAAATTCCTGTGTTTTATACAAAACGAAGCTCTGCTGTTTCCACTCAGTTGTACAGTACAATTTCTTAAAAGTATAATCGTAAATTTTCAGCATTAAATATTTGAGAAATATTAGTTTTAGCATAACACTCGAGTGAGGAGAGCTAAATTCGGTAGTTTTTGAAAACTGAGGCCTATGGAAAACTGAAAGACTACTCTTATACTCCTAAGGGCTTGTTGCCATCTAGTGTAATCAAGTGGTATAGATCGTAATTATCTTAGAAGTCCATGGGCAGTTATTGCGCCTACGCGAAGCACTGGATGAAGCCCTAGTAGGGATCTTAAGGCCTAAAGCGACTCATGCTTAAAACAGACATCATATCCGCAGTGCCACAGTGGAAATTTGGAGCAGTTTTGAATTAACCAAGATTTGCCCTCCTTTTGAATAAGAATGAGCAGAAAAAGGTTCAGCGGTTATTGAAACGCAAAAATCTAGGATCATGGGTACGCGTTTGTAAGTGATTATTTAGACCTTACAGGTTCAGGAGCAAAAGTTTGTCGTTACTTCTCGAGTTTTCCCTCCTTTTCAGTTTTTTACATTTTTGGCATTCAAAATATTTTTATCCATAGTTCTTAAACTTTTTGGACAGGCTAGAGCACATGACTCCAGTAGAGTTCATAACATCGAGGAGGTCCTCTATGCGTCCCTCTCCCTCCCCCTCTCTCGTTCTACTATATCAGCTGAGTCTATCACTGTAACTGGTTGTGGTTGCATTCCAAAAAAATCTTTTCGGAGTTTTGTAGAGTATGTAGGAGCAAATGTGGAAATTACTTGAATGAGAAATTGTAAAAATGGCTGAATATAGGAACAACGTGCAAAAATTTGTACGTGATTAATAGCTCGTTAGTGCAGCGAATAAATACTGTAATCCACCTAAATCTCCTGGCGATGAAAAAACTTTCAAATCTGAAAGACATGCTAGTTTGTAATAAGATGCGTATGAAATTTAATCAGTTACATTGATATTGCACAATGTTTTCAAGAAATGGCGAGCAAAACGAACGATAGCTGGTGGCTGTCAATAATCAGAGTATTTTTCTCCCTCATTTCTGTTCATTCGGCGCAGAACTCAGGGCATAGCATCTTTCTATAGTGTGTGCCCCGGCCAGCTTCCCATAGGTACCGCCGCGGCGCATACGCAACGCGCGCTCAACCTGGCGCTTCTCGTTTCGCTTATCAACAAAGGAGCATTTCTGCTTGAGACAGAAGTGAAATGAGAAATGGAAGTCACTAATCTCAGCTCGAGGAGAGGCTATGCAAAAAAAGAACGTTCACAATTTGCGCTAGTGCGCAGATTTCATTCAGTCTCTTGCATGCTATGTAGTATGTATGATATTAGTGACTGAAAGTCGTAGAAGGAACAAAAAGTCGGGATCGTTTTCGAAAAGTTTTCTCCTGTGTCATAAAAAAGCTAAAAAGCGTAAGCTTGAGCTGTACAATCTGCCGTCTGCCATCTGTACAACAGAGCCCTAATGACGTACTACAAAAGAACGAGAAGCATTACTACAAATCAATCTGATAGGCATGCTTATTCTGTAATAAAAACCTTTGAACTTTTTTACTGAAATACACTGAAGTCTTCGCCATTATGGAAAAAAACGTGGAATTCTTGAGAGAAAAGCTCTTGAGACTCTTAAGGCTCTTAAAAACCCCCAATCGGCAGTCGTTCGTCTACACCTGAAATAGGGCGATTACAAGCAGAACAAAGCCAGTAAAGAGAGAAAAGCATAAGAATTTCCACTAGAGGCAGAAGAGAAAGGCGCACTGAAGGCATGCGCGACGGGCGCGTCGCGGAGGTACCTACGGGAAGCTGGCCGGGGTCCACACTATACCATGCTTTTGATTACATCGGATGGTCTAAAAGATTTTTTTTGCTTGAAAATGAGGTTTGCAAACCGTTGAAATATCAAAAAGCGTTCCATAGGTAAAAATTCGGGTATTTCATATATTTTCATGCCATGACATTAACAAATTGCACCTATTACCGCTTTGCACAATACTAGATAAAGCATTTTTTTCAACTTTACACTGAGCCTTCGTCGCGTTTTATGAGATAAACACTGCTTCAAAAAAATTATGAACGTTTCTCCCATGATTTGGCCAAAATTTTCGTATTGCATGACTCGTCTGTTTTATACTACACATTACTGGCAACATACAATGTATTATACCTGGAGACTAATGCATTAAAGTGAACGAGGAAAGGCATAGCACATTGACTTTCTGACGCTCTTCAATAATAAGATCTACTCTCAAAGGATATCATTTTCTCAAACCTAAAGTTTTGCGGATAAGGAAGAAACATCCAAAGGTGCCGGGATACTTCAGGCGATTTCAGTCGCAACGCGATTTGGCAATACGCCAAAAGTCTTCAGATCCAACATTAGCAAGCTGCACATGCATAGTGTGTACAAGTTACGTGGATTGATAAAATGGCTTGCCTTTTGTACATTTAAAACGTGTTTACAGTGAGTTATGGATACTTGGAATATTGCCAAATCGCGTCGCGACTGAAATCGCGTGAAGTATGCCCGGCCCTTTACAAATAATCGCGTAATTATTACCTGCTTTATCTATTGGACAAAGTACAAAATGCCTTTGAATAGATTGTAGGTATCTAAAATTTACTGACTCCGCGGATTGTAAGTTGGTTTGATATAGCATTGGTTTCGTTTTAGTTTTGATCTTATTCAAAAAATATTTCATAATAGTTTTGCATAAATTATTACTAAGTTTATACTTTTTACCGATATTTTTTGCTAAAATTTCAGATGTTTCTCTAATCCATTGTTGGATTTCGTTCTTGTTTACTTGATTTTGTATTCGAAATTTGGTACCTTTTGATAACAATCTTATAGCCTCACAGCTTTTTAGTAGGTTCAAATCTCCGCTAATTATGTGGTTGTGATGTTTATCTTTGAAAGGTGTATAATCTTTGTGGCTGCAAATGCAATCTGTTTTATTGTTTTCAATCAACTGAGAGTTGAGTAAAGTCTCTAATGTTTTATTGTAAAAACGTGTGGGCTGAAACTGGTTTGGTATATTGGTATATAATTCTGGCCGGTTTGTAACTTACTTGCGAGTGTGTTTTAACTATGTCCACGATATATTTATTATTTGCAACCTTATTGATATTCACATTATCTACTCAGACAATTATTGCGACCACCCGCGGAAGGGCCCGCGCCGACGTTTCATCCATGCCGCGGGTGGTAGAGTAAACGCACGCTAAGCAGCCGAGAGTTACCCGCGGATGCGCCGGTAAGCGCTCGAAGGACGCCCGCGGCTATCCAGACAAGCACCCGACTGATGCGCGATATGCATCCGCGCGTGGCCCGATACGCAGTTGCTAAATGCAGTACAATATACATTTATTCCATTTTTGGAACATCTGTTTCCATTTTCCTCGCCCTCGCACATGGGTCAGGGTATGCGTCAAAATTTGTCTTCCCTCGTAGGGCCCCGGTTCCAACTTCAGGTGACCCTGGAAGAGGATACCTCAGCAGACCGTCTTTGCTACTAGCCACATACCGAGAAACGATAAGCAACGGCGTAAACGTTGAGGGTACCTCTATCAGCGCGGCGTATCTCACGCGAGTAACGTCTTTGCTTACAGCATGTAAGAATTGCGGCGTTCGGCAAGGCCCGCGGCTGGTCAGATTGATTCTGTTAAGCCGTTGCCTGGAAGGGCCGGGGCCTGCCCGAGAATGATGAGCACGGCGCCCATTAAGGCCCGCGGCTGCTTTCAATAAGGTCCGTGGCCCGCCCGAGTGTTTTTTTCCCGGGCCGCGGGTGTCCCGGTAGAAGAAGTAAAACCCGCGACCTTTAACTAGCGAAAACATTGAGCCGCGGGTCGCCAAGCAAGTGAATTAAGGGCCGCGGATGGTGAGTATTAAAATTTAACGCCCGCGCGCCACCAAAAGGCACTATTAAGGGCCGCGGATGCCCGTAATAATTGTCTGAGTAGTATGGAATGTAAGTATTTTACTTTGATACTACTTTTACTTTTACCTTAACTGAAAGCTGCAGCATCGGAACCCAATACGATTTGTCCGAACAATGATGGAATGAATGACGCACTTAGAAATGCCTCGCTGGAGCTGCACAATCAGAAAAGGTAGTGAACCCAGCTACTTTCAAACATACAGATTGATTTATGTTCAGAGCAGAGCTTGCTAGTGGAACCACGGCTATGGGGAGTGCTAGTACCAACATGCGACAAGCAAACAATATGCCAGAACTAGTAAGTTACGTGCAAAAAGAACAGTCAAAATTACTGTTACATTTGCTTAATCAAAAACTGTACAAGTTGCTACGCTCAAACGTAAATCTGCTCAGGTAATTGACTGCGATCTCGAAAAGGCGGCCCTAGAGGAAGCACAGAAATGTGAAGAAGATGATGATAAGATTGGCCGGGAGTTCAATAAGATGATGGTGCCTGATGCAATCGATCTGGCAGAAGCTCAAAAGACTGTAATAAGTTGAAAAAGTTTTAAACCCCAGGTTAAACTTTACTTTTGAGGCCCTAGAGGAATGGTGGAATGAAATTAATAGTGGTCCTGTGATCGACCAAATCCAAAACTTGTACTACGATCACAGCCTCAAACAACATTTCTCTAAGGTAAACAACACAAGTAATACCTTCCTCACAACGCCAGTTCTAAGCTGATGAATACACTGCGAAAACTACTCTACGAGAAATTCAGATGGCAACCGATAAAACGAAAAAAGTTGGTTGCGCTGCAGTCAAGTGCGATAAAGGTGTGCGTGTTGTGTGCAGATACGAAGGGTAGGTTTCTCAGAATTTTTGGCGAATACCAGACAAAATTAAATACCAGTAAAAAGTATATTCCCATCACAGAATCCTGAAGAACGGCGAAAAGATATACAACATGGGTCCCACTTGCAAGAAGTGCTCTGCTGGAGCGGGCATGGCAGATTGCCAAGCGGAACCATATCCCGGTTTGTGCCCCGCAAAATACTACAGCTCATGAAGTTGGTCCACCTATGTCTATTCAGGTGTGAATAAATGCATGCATTTGAGTATTCCACGCAACACTAACTGAGCCTGACGCATAGATTGAGATTTCTCAATAACATGAAGCTGTTTTTTTTTACAAAACTATTTGCACAAATTATCTATAAGGAAAAGGCAATAGCATAAAACAAATCGGATCTATGTTTTTAAAAAAGAAGAAAATTATAGAAATATCCAATTTTCGTTTCATTCCTTCCACTAGACGGGAAAAGGATGGGAATACGACCTTCCCCGGAAATCATCAGTAGTGAAGGAAGGTCGTAAGCGTGTAATGAAAAGAAGAAAGACAAAAAGGAACTAATCTTAACCAGTTGGATGCTGTTGAGCTCGTTCGAGGGGTTCTGAGTCTGTAAAGAATAATAGAATAATTAATAATTGAAGTGAATAAGAATTCAAACTATTTTAGATGATCAAAAGGTAACAAGGATACTTTGAAATGAAAAGTAGTTAATGAAAATACTAATTTTCTAAAAAAACGGAGTCCTAAAATCCGTACAGTATCTACATTTTTGAAATTATAAAGGACTTTGGCTTTGGAGCATTTGGGGAATCAGAAATAGGACACATTAATGTTAAATTTGTTAGTGTAATCTATACAGAAATGTGCATGTGTGTATGTGCATGTGTGTATGTGCATGTGTGTGTGTGTGTGTGTGTGTGTGTGTGTATGTGTGTGTGTGTGTGTGTGTGTGTGTGTGTGTGTGTGTGTGTGTGTGTGTGTGTGTGTGTGTGTGTGTGTGTGTGTGTGTGTGTGTGTGTGTGTGTGTGTGTGTGTGTGTGTGTGTGTGTGTGTGTGTGTGTGTGTGTGTGTGTGTGTGTGTGTGTGTGTGTGTGTGTGTGTGTGTGTGTGTGTGTGTATTTGAGAGTCTTCAAACAAAGTTGCCCATCTTATTTATAAAGCTGAATGTCTGTTTGTATGTCTGTCTGTCTGTCTGTATGTATGTATGTATGTATGTATGTATGTGTGTACGTATGTTCCGAATAGAAAATTCCATTTCTCAACCGATCCGGACCAAACTTGGCACACATACACTTCGGGGCAGGGCGGGTGTCATAGGCTACTTTTGGTCATCGATCGATATCGATTCTATCGATTTTTGCAAAATTTGAGCTACAGGGCTGGAAGTTGGCATAGAGGGGTAATCGAGCATGCTGATTACAAATATATTATTGACAGGCCCGGGCGGAGCCGGGTTTGCCATCTAGTGTAGTCATAAGATGATAGAAAAACAAGCAGTAATTATGGCAAACCAAATTGCTATCGCGGGCTAGACAAGTGGTATAGATCGTAATTATCTTAGAAGCCCATGGGCAGTTATTGCGCCTACGCGAAGCACTGGATGAAGCCCTAGTAGGGATCTTAAGGCCTAAAGCGACTCATGCTTAAAACAGACATCATATCCGCAGTGCCACAGTGGAGATTTGGAGCAGTTTTGAATTAACCAAGATTTGCCCTCCTTTTGAATAAGAATGAGCGGAAAAAGGTTCAGCGGTTATTGAAAAGCAAAAATCTAGGATCATAGGTACGCGTTTGTAAGTGATTATTCAGACCTTACAGGGTGGAGCAAAAGTATGTCGTTACTTCTCGAGTTTTCCCTCTTTTTCAGTTTTTTACATTTTTGGCATTCAAAATATTTTTATCCATAGTTCTTAAACTTTTTGGACAGGCTAGAGCACATGACTCCAGTAGAGTTCATAACATCGAGGAGGTCCTCTATGCGTCCCTCTCCCTCCCCCTCCCTCGTTCTACTATATCAGCTGAGTCTATCACTGTAACTGGTTGTGGTTGCATTCCAAAAAAATCTTTTCGGAGTTTTGTAGAGTATGTAGGAGCAAATGTGGAAATTACTTGAATGAGAAATTGTAAAAATGGCTGCAATATAGGAACAACGTGCAAAAATTTGTACGTGATTAATAGCTCGTTAGTGCAGCGAATAAATACTGTAATCCACCTAAATCTCCTGGCGATGAAAAAACTTTCAAATCTGAAAGACATGCTAGTTTGTAATAAGATGCGTATGAAATTTAATCAGTTACGTTGATATTGCACAATGTTTTCAAGAAATGGCGAGCAAAACGAACGATAGCTGGTGGCTGTCAATAATCAGAGTATTTTTCTCCCTCATTTCTGTTCATTCGGCGCAGAACTCAGGGCATAGCATCTTTCTACCATGCTTTTGATTACATCGGATGGTCTAAAAGATTTTTTTTGCTTGAAAATGAGGTTTGCAAACCGTTGAAATATCAAAAGCGTTCCATAGGTAAAAATTCGGGTATTTCATATATTTTCTTGCCATGACATTAACAAATTGCACCTATTACCGCTTTGCACAATACTAGATAAAGCATTTTTTTCAACTTTACACTGAGCCTTCGTCGCGTTTTGTGAGGTAAACACTGCTTCAAAAAAAATTATGAACGTTTCTCCCATGATTTGGCCAAAATTTTCGTATTGCATGAGTCGTCTGTTTTATACTACACATTACTGGCAACATACAATGTATTATACCTGGAGACTAATGCATTAAAGTGAACGAGGAAAGACATAGCACATTGACTTCCTGACGCTCTTCAATAATAAGATCTACTCTCAAAGGAGTATTATTTTCTCAAACCTAAAGTTTTGCGGATAAGGAAGACACATCCTAAGACGGAACGAGATGCATCCATTATTTAACGTCTTTGAATATGACAGAAACCCCATGATAGCAACAACCACATTATCATTATCAGTATACGATCATGACTGACTGTACACCGTATTTCATCATAAATTCCACACAAAAATTCGTGTCAAACTCGAAACTGCGCTTGTATGTACAAAAGATAAAATGAGATGACGCATTCTGTCCAATGATGCTTGACTAACGCTCTGGAAAGCAAAAATTCCAATTGTGGGCATGACTAGGTTCATATCAAATATCACACGTCGTGGCTTTACCAAAGGTTAAACTTTCTATTTACTGGTCCAATTTTCATGTTAAACAATTCGAAATTGCAGAGATCATGCCGAGAAAGATTTTTGTTACATTGTTATTTATCATCTTCTGGAATGCAACCGTCGTTCAATCAATATTGTTCATGACATCAATGGCTGTCGTGGTCCCACCACCGATGATGGTGGCCATACCGCCGCCTATGCCTCCGCCTGTTATCTTGGTGAGACGCAGAATAGGTGAGACAATTATATCAGCTGTCTCTAAAGTATTTTCGGTTTTTTTTTGCATGTGTGCACAACCCGCAGAACAAACATCCTTACAAGATCTTGGCGAAATTCGATGCAGTTTTTCATGCTCTTTCGAACAGTCATCTTAATTTTGCAGATGAAGTAACGAGCTCTCACAAAATTACTAAACTGCGATCCATGCTTTTTACCAAGGGTCAAGTTCCGCTATTTTTCTAAATTCTTGTACTGATTCCCCGAACAAATCTAAGTAACCTGCGGGTAGAGCAAACAAAGTAGGATACAAAAACAAAACAATTGCGCTCTCCTTCCCAGATCTCTCCATAATTTTCTAACACGTTTTTAAACAGCGCTATCGAATAGCAGACCCATACCAGACACAGACTCGTCAAACTCAAATAAATTCTCGATTTTTATTCGAAAATATATTAGGATTCAGCGCTAATTTTACAAAGCAAATGAGCGTTGCGAGCTTCGAAATATCGAATCTTGGACTTGCCGAGTAGAGCTTGGAGTGCCTTCAAAAACATGTTTGTCGATTTTATTGCAAGACCTTTCGAAAGGGATCAAAAAACATCTATCTGAAAGAGGTAAAAGTGCTGCATCGATTAACACCCGAGTTGCTTGCCTGGTGATGTTCTATGAGGTTTAAATTGGCCAAATATGGACTCTGATAGCAGCAAAAATAATATTTGTAAATCTGGAAAGTAAGCCATGGAAGGAACACGAATTGCGTTGTGTCCTACTTGATTTGCTCTATCCACAGATTACTTAGACTTCTTCGGAGAATCAGTACAAAAGAAAAGTAGCGGAACTTGACCATGGCAAAAATCATGGATCGCAGTTTTTGGTAACTTTCTGAGAGCTCCTTTGTTGAACTGCAATAAGGTAATCGTTTAAAAGAACATGAGAAACGGCATGGAGTGCTGCCAAGATCTTCTAAGGATGTTTGTTTTGCGAGTTGTGGCACTCATACAAAAAAAGCGAGAATACTTTCGGACGACCTAAAGCATTCGGTAACCCTCTAAATAATTATGGTTTTTCAGTTTGCTGTTATGGGACTTTCATGGGCTAGCGATTTGCGTTGCAAGGCCTTTCCAAAGAAACGATTCTCATTCGAGCTCTTTGTTGTAACAGTGAAATGTCGCCTTTGATTGTAGACTACATATGCTTTTGACCCTTCCGCATTCTTCCGCCAATTTTTTTTTTCTTTGAATAAAAACAAAGATATCCATTACATGTCTGTCAAGAACAGTCAAAAGCTCATTAGCGTAAGATTATAATAACGCAACAAAAGGTACGATGAGACAAGTCCTCTCTTTTCTCTGCCAATAGGGTTAGCCATCGCGAAATTGTACTGCAGAAGGTCACCGCACTTCTCAACGGATAATTTCTCTCAACACGCGATCAAGATTTCAAATATAATTTTGTTTACTACTTATACAAACTTATCCTTTCCATTCCGGCTAGTCATTGATTTTAAAAATACATAGCTTTTCAAAGTTTCGATATTTCCAGATGCTTCCAGTTCTTGTGGTAGTTGTTGCACTGCTCGAGCTTCAGCTAAGTCTCTCATACCCACAGAAGGCCCCACCAGCTCCAATACCTCGTTCGGAAATCGTATCTCCACTTCCACCACCTCCAGCTCCTGCCATCGTTTCTCCTCCACCGCCACCTCCACCTCTTCCACCGCCACCTTCGCTACCACCTCCTCCACCGCCTCCACCGCCACCTCCACCGTCACCACTTCTGCCACTTCTGACTCCCTTCGGCGTTATTCTTCCTCCGCCACCACCACCATCACTTCCTCCTCCTTCGCTCCCTGCCGTCCTTCCTCCTTCACCTCCTCCTCTACCCCCTCCACCGCGTTCTACCCCATCTCCTTGAATCACTCTTCTCCTCCTCTTCGTCCTCCACCCCACCACAACTTCTTCTTTCTGGCAGCCTCATCTTCAGCAGTGAAATCATCTTTTCTTTCTCCTCCTCTTCCTTCTTCACCTTCACATGCTCTTTCCACGCTACCTCCAAACGTCTCAACCCCAGCTTTGACGTCTCAGAGCCATTTTTTGCTTAAGACCTGCTTTTCTGTTATTTTTTAATGCCAGTATGACCTCCAGTATGAGTTCCATAACTGTTTCTTTGATTACCTTTGTTACTATTAAACGTATAAATGAATCATATAGCATTGTCTACGACATAAGGAGATGGTACCGATGGGGATAATCAGAGTTCAAGATCAGTGTAACATTACAGCCTGTCTCAAAAGTATGTATGCACTGTTTGATCGTGAACTTTTCTCTTCTCAAAAGGTCAGCTAAATACAGGTACCATTTTTTAGACCTGGCTTCAACTTAGATTTACAGTACAGAGCAAATTACCGATCTCTTTTTATAACTGGATTGCTGCAAAAACTTTGAGAATATTTTCAGGCCATTGAGAGCCATATTTTGCTTAAAAAAGATAACCAAAGAAGGTAAAAATTCATATACTGGGTTAGTGAAGCCGCTGTAGTTTAATATGGAATTTGCACTTGACTATAATGTTCTTAAGCTATCAGGTATATTCCATACTATACACCTACCATACTATACCATACAATATACCTAAGGTTTTTCCTGTTCGTGAGAAATGAGATTGTGCCATTAAAAAAGTTCGGAAATCTTGTAAAAAGTTGTGCAGTGAACACCAAGTGTAATAACCCTACTGCACAATTTTCTGGATTTATTTTGAAAAAATTCTGCAGATGCTTATCTCGCAATGGTTCTTTATGCTGAAATTTTCTACCGTAATCCTACAGTAATGGAAAGCGATCGATGATTTCCTCCATACTGTAAACCTAAGTTGAAGCCAGCTCTACAAAATGTTGGCACAGTGTAAGCAAAAGACCACTTGGGAAGAGGGATATCAATGAACAATGAGTATATAAACTTATTTCACTATGGGACTTGCATATAACAATCACATATATGGTAACTCCCGCGCGTAATTAAAGTGATAAAATTTATTGTAGTATGGGTCTGCAGTGAAAATCATCCAGAGATTTGAATGCAAAACAAGCAAGCGATAACAATATCAAACCATTCTGGCACTGCACTGCCTTAGTCGTGTACATGTACAGATTTTTGAATTCTATGTTTCGAAGTCTAGTTTTGTTTTTCTTTCATTCAGAATTCCTACGCCCTTTTTTTTTGAACAGAATCTTCTCATAGGTTAGGCAGATATATGTAATTTCATAGCTGCAAGTCTTCCGTGAAACTTCCAATACAGTTCAAGTATTTATGGGCCCAGTCTCCGTGTCCGTCAGATCTGTGATAAAGATGCGAAAAACTAATCCATATGTACCGAGAAATCATGGAATTTGCAATCACATGATTTGTAGATTATGATCCTTCACAAGCAGCACCCAAATAAAGAAATAGTCAGTCCTTTCAAATTTTTTTTAGCATATATTGATTGATATTGACTGTATGATATAATTATGATGGGATCAGCATGTAGCCAAATGAAAGGTCTGATTGTCTTATCCGATGGCTCATCTTGGGATTGTGTACTATAAGATCATCGTCGGATCTAAACGGATACTAATTTCCGAGTGCGATTGGCGATATCGCCCCAGTGACAGTGCTTACGATTGTTTCACCTACATATTCCGGTAAGATATTCCGGTTGCCTTCACTTTTTTCGCAAGTCCTATGTTGAAGGAATGTCCAATTTTTCAAAAGTTTTGTTTTCAGATGCTTCAAGTTCTTGTGCTAGTTGCTACATTGCTTGCGCTCCATCCAGGAGTCGCTTATGCACAAAAGGCTCCACCACCTCCAGTGCCTCGCTCGGAAGTTGATCATTCATCTCCACCACCTCCTTCTCCTGAAGCTGCTTCTCCTTCTCCTTCTCCATCTCCACCGCCACCACCTCCTCCACCACATCCTCCCGCAGTCGCTCCTCCGCCGCCACCTCCACCACCTCCTCCACCTCCTCCACCTGCCCCAGTGCCTTTTACACCATCTCCCATACTTCCAGCCCCTGCATTCACACCATCTCCTGTCCCAGCTCCTCCACCACCACTACCACCACCGCCACCGCCACCGCCACCTCCAGCACCTGCTGCAGTTCCTGCTCCTCCACGCTTCAGAGTATGCTAAGCCTTGATATGCTTTTTATGCAACTAATTTCATGACATGTTAACAAAGTGATAAATATTGCATAGTCTATGACCAGAACAAAGCCTGTAACAATCTTCGACATCTGGATTGCGTGTGTGAATGCTTATATGAACTCCTGTTGAAAGAAGAATATCAGTCCACATGTGAATTCTGCTACCGATACATCATATATGTTGCACATCGTAGTTAAAAACAAGAAAGGCCACTGTAAGTCTCAGGTATAAACGGGTACGATCTCAACACATATGTTCTCACATGTACTACTTCTTCTTCCACTGCAATGGATATATCTTCAAATTTAACCATCAACCACATTTTAACCATCAACCAACCAACAAGATCTGAATAGATACAGTATTTATGAACTCTTAAGTATGCTTCCGCCTCGCTCTGAAAATGTAGTCGGCAAGATTTAATCGTTGCTATGATGACCGAACCAGGTAGATTATTAAATCAAGAAGAACGAGTCATGTGCCAAGGATTGTATTTGCCTGAGGTATGCGAATAAATAGCTGCTTAACACGTTTCGGACCGGTGCTGCACATGGTGCAGCATGCCGCTTTGAAGAATCTTTTTGACGTTTACAGGAGGTTTTCTTTTAGTCCAAGGTTATCAAGTCAAAGGGCTTAGCTTCTACTTTCCAAATCGCTCTGTAGAGTTGTGCCGCCGATCTTTGTTTAGGAAATATGAGCACAAATCGAACAACAGTTGCAACGAAGTGCGGCAACGCGAACGACGCGTGCGACGTCGCAACTTTTTCTTGCTTCGATTTCCGAGAGAAAAACCGTAGTTTCAATTATGAGTGTACTGTGCACAACATAGATACTTTTGCATACTATTTGAAACTGAGTTCTTACTCCTATCTTTCAAGAAAGCGCGAAAGCCCCTCTCAGGCGACAAAATTCAAACACTTCGAATTCACTCAGAACCTTGAGTATGGAGCCTAACTGACATGCTGATTACAGATGTAGCCCACAGTCTGCGAAATAAGGTCCCTTTGAAGGCCAACGGCTGAAATTACACTCTTTTTCGCCGCGCGCGATTTCGCGGTCCGAAACGTGTTAAAAGTACTCCCAAAAACGCACAAGGTTATCATTGAATGACTTTTCGAAATGGTGAGCGCAAAGTTTTATATTTGTCAAGTATTTTATCAATAGTCAGAGTCGACTATGTACGTTCGGACTGCTACAAACACCATTGTACTTAGAAGTAAAAAAAGTAAGTCCAAACATTAATGGCATCTCGACAGCGCAAGCGGGTATTAGAGTGATAATCTCGTAGCATACTGAGGTAAATAGAAGGATAGGTAATAATGGATGTGTTCGACTTTTCTAGTTCGAATAAATCATTCGAAAATGAATATTCGAAAAATAGTCGGTTCTAACTATAACGTTCTTCGATGCTCATGTCAACTCAGCCACTAGGTTGGCGGATGACTTGTGTTAATCTTCAAGTTCAACTGCCATTTTAATCGGGGACGCCTCTAACGTTGTTTTGAGATCATTTATAAGCTCGAGTCATTTTCCTCTCCAAGAAAATTCTCTGAAATTTTTGGATTTTGATATATTTTCCCCTTGCGTTGGAACTATAGGCATCACACCGTTGCTAAGAAAGGATAGTGCACAAATACATCTCTTTAGTTTGCAATAAGGAACAAGCGCAGAAGCAGGAAAAGTTCAAGGGAAGAAGGGAATATTTGAGTATGCCCACGAATTTTGTAAACTTGGTTGGTAAGAGCGCCTTTGCGGCGTCAAACATACTGTTAGGTAGGTAGATTCCGTAACCCCTAGGTATAAAGCGAATTTGACTTCAGGAAGTTTCTGCAGCTTTTTAGAATCAAAAATGCCGGAAATCACCTACCGGAAAATTAATGACTCCCACCAATGCGGCCTGACCTATTCAAAGAGCCGTACGCATCTTGGATTGCCGGAGATAAAGGTCAGTATGCGTTGCTGAGCTAGTCGTATCGAAGATACATTGGGTCAAGGTGAGTTTCGTCTTCACTTAGTTTATCGTTTTGAGAATTTTAATCAGCATTATTTGCTCGTTTAGATGACGTTTCGCTTTCTGGTGATCCTCGCTGTGATAGCCATGCTCCATCTAGCCATCGCTTTCCCACAAGCATATTCAGTAGGAGCACTAGCCCAGCCGGTGATTGTTCCACAGCCGATACTGATAGGAAATCCACTAATCTCGCCTGCAGTTGCTGTTCCTTCACCAATTATCGGTTAGAACAATTATACTTAGATTATCCCTTCCACCCGCATTTATTCTTTGCTACTTTGCACTCAACCATACGATGTATCTCAAGATTTTCCCTCAAGTATGCTCACTATTGTATAAAAGAAATAAATTTTTTACGCAGATTTTCGAGTGAAATGCCATGGATGCTGACAAGTTTGAACAATTTAGATGCTCACCATCGTGCTGGTTAACGGTGAGAATATCACGAGTAGGTTAAGGAGAATTCTAAAAACTTCACAAAACGTTCTTGTTGGAAATGCTAGGATACCACGATTAGTGCTTTTGATTTTCTTATGATTTTGGATAATCTGATATTTGTTATTGGTATTACGGCTCACTTTCTTAGAGATATTACCAACTCCTTTTCACCTACGGGAGGGGGGGCGGGTTGTGAGAATAATTTTGTGGGAGGAAATTGTACAATGTTCCTCAAATCAAAACACTATTTTAGAAAGCTATTACCCACTTTCTGACTAGATCTTGAGAAAATCTCCGAGATTATCGCTATCAAGAGCAACCGCTTTACTTTCCCCAACTCATTTTTTCCCTCAAAAAGATGAGTGTGGGTATAAGAATGATATGGGGGAGGAAAATCTCACTTTGAGCGGTTGCGGCAATCCATATGCTGATGAACTGGAAATTAGTCGGAATCATAGATTTTGTACAACATTTTCTATGGATTTGCCCCAAACCGCTTGCTAGCGACCTGTTGGGTCGCTAATCAAAAATATAAAACCATTTAGCAAAGACTGTTCATTTGTCACCACCCGAAAAGTCGAGAGTTCTAAGGCTCCACGGACACTTTCAATAACAGAGTCGATAATACTTATGCTAGATGTCTTCCACCCCTAACCCTTGTATCAATGTTAAAAAATATTAATTTGCACGCTGTTTCTTTCTATGACTCGGGTCATACACGATAATGGGCCTAGCGTAAGGATGGCATGGTTCTAGCAAACAGTACAAGAAAAATTGTCAAACTACCAAAACCACTCAGGTTAGATGTTTCGTTGGTAACGTTTGCCACCTTCAGTAGAAACCGCAAACTCGTTCAGTTCTCATTACGTCTATACCAAAAATTGTCATATTTTTGCGTCGCTTACAGGTGAATTCATTTATTAGGTCATTCCGAAAGTAATTTCGCTTTTTCGAACGGACGCCACATACGATGGAACAAAGATTTCTAAGAGATCTTGGTAGCATTCGATGCAGAATTTCATTCTGTTTCTAACGGCTATGAAATTGTTGCAAAACAATCAATGAGATTTCGGAAAATATCTAAAATCTGCGACCCATGCTTTTTTGAGATGGTCAAGTTTCACAATTTTTTTAAACTTTCATATCAATCCTCAGAAGGAGTTCAAGTAACGATTCGATAGAGTAAACCTTATAAAACACAGCTACTTTTTTCTCTTCCTCGTAACTCGCCGTAATTTTTTAGAAGATTTTTTAACAGAAACATCGGATGGCAGGCCCACCTCAGCCACAATCGCATCAAACATCATAATTTTTCGGAGTTTGAAATTTCCAAGATGGTACCATGAGTTAGCATGCATTTTACAAAGCATGTGAGGGTTTACGGGTTCGAAATATCAAATTTCGAGTTTTTAGGGTACGCATGGGGCTAGCTAAAGAAATGAGTTATGATGATTTCATCCTCGGAAACTAAACGAATCGGAAACAAAAAACACCTGTTAGAAAGAGGAGAAAATGCTGCATCGAATAGTGCGCGAGCTGCTCTTCTTTTGATGTTCTACGAGGATTTAGCTGCCCAAGTATGGAAATCGGTAGCATCAGTTAAAATTCTGTTAAAAATGTATGACAAGCTATGGAAAGGAGAAAAAAGTTGCACTGTATTCTATGAGGCTTGCTCTACCGAACCTTCACTTGAACTTCTTCTGAGAATTGATATGAAAGTTTAAAAAAATTGTGAAACTTGACTATCTCAAAAAGCATAGGCCGCAGATTTGGGTTATTTTCTGAAAACTCATTGACTGTTTTGCAACAATTTCATGAACATTAGAAACAGAATGAAATTCTGCATCGAATGCTACCAAGATCTCTTAGAAATCTTTGTTCCATCGTATGTGGCGTCCGTTCGAAAAAGCGAAATTACTTTCGGAATGACCTAATATTTTACGGCTCAACAATTGCGACCCGCATGCCATATATGACCGTTATTAAGGAGTCTCAACTACGTAAATGATTTCTGAACATGGAATGTTCAGAAGGGGCGCAGAAGTCCCTAGCAAATGAGCTCTAATCGCCTTCTAAAATTCCATTTTCCAGCAGAAATGGGAACCATCAGAAATTTTGAGCATTGGAGCTTTCATGCATTGATCCACAGTTGCATAAAAGGGAAACTTGAAAGAAGAAGAGATGTTGCCCCTATTTGCGCAGTGTTCTCAAACTCAAACGTTGTGTATTTACAAAAACAAACATTTTCTTCTACAAACTTGCATGATCCAAGCGTTCACAAAGCTCATTGTATTGTCTGTATGCATGACAGGCTTTATCACCACAAAACTTTACAAATTTACTACGCAGTCTGCATGAGCAAAAATTGGAGAATGAAAGATTTTTATTATGTGAAGAAGTTGAGGTTTTTAGTTTCGATATTGAATTAATACAGACAGCACTTTGTAATCCTCCACCATATCATTGCGCTATCCTATGATAGGTGTGGGCACGACAACGAGGGAGACTACGGGGGAAGATCCAACAACTGCGGATTGTTGATGTACTGGTGAAGTTACTACTCCAGTTTGTTGTATCTGGGGACGAGCGGTGATTGGTTGGACCATTAGCAGGGCAGCGACAAGCAGGAATGTTCGAAACATCTAAAAGTACTAGATGATTGTTGCAAACCCACAAAAATACTGAGGACACGCACTTTAATTCCAAACTAGACCAAATAGATACCTATGCGAATTTCATTTGATGGGAGTGTTAAATAATCCGCTCAGCGGCCTTGACCTCAATCCTCGGACGCTTATAGATGATCTGAGCCGTCTAAGATAACATTCGCCGTTCATTTTCAATCTCAACAAATCTGAGACACACTTGATCGGCTGATTCTGGAAATGGCGTTACGTGCAATAATTTACTCCAAACAGCTATAATCGGTCAGAGAGGGGCGATAAATTTATCAGAAGTAGCAAGCCTAACGCAACCTGCGCACAGCAAAGACAACTTGGGACCTTTTCTGAAACCTCTTTTTTGATAAATTGTTATTCCCTTGAAGTTTCGCTGTATGGTTGACAATAAGCTATCTTCCAAAAGCCAGCGATTCGTAGTAAGTCAAAATTGCACCTTGCTGGATGTTGCTTAAGCAAAGGTATTTTGTCTCAGAAAACCTCAATGCGTCGATGTAGTGCAAATATGTACAAAAAGTAATTAACGAAAATCTGCGAAATTAAAAATAAAAATTGTCTTTGTTAGCTCTTTCGAGCCTATTTGCGGTGGGTGGGCAGCTACATTTGGTCGAAGTGGCCTTCTCAAATAATTCCTACGTCGCTTTCTAGAGCATTGGACGCTAATTCTAAATCTGTTTTCGTTATGTGCCAAGCGCCTTAGAACGCCGAGTTATGATTGTTTTTTGGAGCAAAAAATGAACGGAATCCAGGTAAAATCAACCATTACGGTTTTTTCAGCGCTCAAGTAGTGCAATGCTGAATAATAGTGCATTAAACAAAAGTTGCATATCAAACGAATTGCTCTGATAATCAAAGCTGGATTATTTAACCAATCTATACGGATTTTGCTCGAGTTGCGCATTCAATTTTCAATCCCAGAAAAAGCTCATAACTCGGCGTCCAGAAGCGTTTGACAGGTAATGAAGAGAAATTTGGGACCAACTTTTTTATTCTTCAATGTGGTATACAGGACTCACTTAACACGTTGACGACCGAGCCATTTTGGACTACATCAAAATAGACTGAATATTTAAATCTGTGGTTTAGACTCCTGAGTAGCTACCGCGATGTCCAGTGTTCTATATGACAATCGGACCACCAGTATTATTACTGCGTAGGTTACTTTGGAACTTTTGCTTACACATGAAAACTGAAGAACAAAAAATAAAGGGATTCACAGCGTGCATACGCGCGTATGCACACGGTCGTCAACGTGTTAAAAAGGCCACTTTGACTAAACAGACTTCCCTTGTAAGGCAAATACGCTAAAGGAATCCGCGTGAGAGTGGGAGTTTCGCCATAGGGCGCATTAGCTGTGGAAATATTATGGACAGGCTATAGTACTGTGATTCCTGCGATTCCTACGAGTCCCGCAACAATGTATATTGCGAAAAAAAACAATGCATCCCATTCGTAAAGCCCTCCGTAGTGCGGCCATCGGAAGTCCACGAATCACAGGAATTGCAGGAATTACAGGAATCGCAGGAATAACCTCCAAGAATAGTGTGGCCGGTCCCTTGGAAAGCGACCGCTTTGCTTCTCAGCGCAATCATGCGCCCGGGTCTGCTTGCTTTTGAAGTAGCTGCGTGGGATTAGTGCACTTGGAAATAGGATACTTCTCAATCATATTACTCAGTGACTGTCTGTAGAAGAATTTTGATAACGTTTTCGCGTCACAGTCTCGGAAATTTTTTTAGACTTTCATGTAGTCGTATGCCAGGATGTGTGTATAGTACCCTAATTTCACTAGTAGACGACGCGCCCAAAAGAATTGTGTGAGAGAGCAACCATTTTGCACAGTTGTGCCCGAAGACTTGCTTGAAAAGGGAGAAAGTTGCTTCTTGTACTTGTGAGACTAAATTGCTTGTAAATAACTCAACTTCACAATTCTTGGGTATTTTTCTAAAGCTGGTGACCATGGCCTAGTAAGGCCGGGTCTGCCAAAAATACTGGGCGCCAATCAAGGCAGCTGCTCTACCGAAATAAGATATAGACGGTGCTCGATAAAGAACGAGGCTTTTTTCGATGAAGAAAGTCTGAGAGCCCTCCAGTAAGGCTCTCCAGGCTCGCTCTGGTTTTTTTTGTGTTGTGGGGCCCTGAAAACAGTTAAAGCCTCCGAGCTTTCCTTCGCAATAACATGTCTGCAAATCTTCAAGTACCCTAATTTCACGCGTACAAGGCGCACCTTTTTCGATTTTTCGACTAAGCCCCTCAGCCGCTTTAAATTATTTCGGAGAGCGATCCTTATGCCGTACGATTCTCTTAAGCAATATACAGCAAGGCATAGGGTCCTTTGGTTGCGAAGTTCTTTGGAGTATTTGGGCTGGTCAATTTTGGGATAAAATCCCCCGCGCCTTGTACGCGTGAAATAATGGTATGGGGCATTTGAAAAATCGTTGACGATGGCGCGACCGCGCGCGACACGCACGCATTCCAATTTCTTGGTTTTTCTCTCTTATCAAATAGTTTTTTTGCTAACATATGATAGCATTTAGATACTGAAAGTGACTGAGATGAGCATTGGGGTGATGCCTTTTTGTATGGGTGTTTTATGCTCCTATGTGCGCAAGGACCGCAGTCAACTCGTCGTCACGATTTTGAAAATGAACCATAAATTGATAAGTGGCCGCGGATGGTCAGTCCAAGAATTCAAAGTCCGAGCACAACCAAAAGACACGTTAGGGTCCGCGACTGATATGATTGTATGTGGACCGAGTAAAATACCATGAAACAAGTTACTTTTTAATCCTTGAATGCTGTAGGTAACATCGCTGAAAGTGGTAATGCGAACGTGATCTTACTGCACTATCAGCGTTTTCTCTCCACACTAGTCATCGAATCTTTGGTGAGTAATTTATCAAGGACGGACAGGTTTTGTATCATATTAAGTAAAGCGCTTTTGATGGCCCATACAAAGATCGAAATTCAATGCAAGCTGGCATCTTCCTTTTTGTTGATTATGCATTTGCATGTCTAAAATTTGAAAATGGATCAGTGTTTTCAGGCAATGGTGATGTAAGGCTGCTACTAAGTTGTGTTTGAACACTGATAATTCTCATCTTTGGTTTTTTTATTTTTCAGAGCTGGCTCAAAGTCGGATCTACAGTTACGGAAATTCAAAGCATTCCTTGCTCATTCATAGCGTGACAGAAATGTGCAAAGTAATTTGTGGTATCAGCAGTGCAAAAAATGCTTTGCACTATTCCCTGCTTCACGAAAATCTTTGGTGACAAAAGTACATCAGAGTCAATGTTGTGGAAGTCGTTAATTTTGGACTTTGAATCGAAACCACAGCCACACCATAACACGTACACAAAGACTCGCGAGGTGCATTCAAACAAGAGATGTTGTTTGAAACAAGCAGCGCTTAGAGGTCCAAAAACATCGTCTGCCAAATCTCCGCTCCGCAAGGAGAATTAAAGAAGCGCAAGAAAGCTCAACCGATTGGCAGAGGTTTGCGATCTAGAACCTTCTCTAGCTATACTGGATCGATTGGCCCTTATTCACAGAAATCTGTTCAGAAACTGCTCAGTCAACTAAAAATAGCACAAGCATATATTCTCAAAAATGGTAAAATACTAAATGCCAAAAGTCGTTTATTGAGCCAAAAATGCCACAAGATTCAGACTTTCGACTTGGTTCTTGCAGGACAATGACAATAACTGGCGTCCTCTCCTGGCATACCCATAGGTCCAGATGGTCCATCGAAACCTGGTGGACCTTCTGGCCCCACTTCTCCTGTAGGTCCTGCAGGTCCTTGATTGCCAGGTATACCCTAAACACGTACTTTGCAAATATTGATCAGTAAAATAGTTTGATGTTACCGGATTTCCAGCTCCTCCTTCCGGTCCAGGAAAACCAGGTGGTCCCATAGGTCCACGCTCCCCAGGTTCTCCCGGAAGCCCTTTACCCATCGTAGCACCATCACGGCCCTTGTCTCCAGGTGGTCCGGGTTTCCCAGGCATTCCGACTTCGCCTGGCAGTCCCGGATTTCCAGGCATTCCCGGGTGTCCATCTGGTCCTGGCATGCCATCAGTACCGCTAGGGCCATCAAGTCCAGGAGGCCCTGCTAGCCCCTGAGGGCCCGGGAAGCCTGGTGGCCCATTGGGACACATGCGGCAGTGAGCTTGATGGTCCATCACAACTGATGGCATAACACCGCTCATTCCCGGCGCTCCAGGAGCACCAGGCAGGCCTGGTGCTCCATCCAAACCTGGTGTTCCGGGTACTCCTGGTGGTCCAGGAGGACAATTAGCATTGGCGTTGCAATCTAAGGAATTAAGTTGAAATCAAGTTCCAAATTTTACCTCAAGATCACTTACTGCAGTTGTAGCTCTGCCTCTTTGTTCTGGCTATGGCCTGAGCCACCACTCTTTCGCCTTTCATGTTTGTCCAAACTCCGTTTTGCAGATGTCGGAACTCTAACATATCCTGAAAACCGGCACATCCCGAAAGGAAATTAGGGCAATGTGCTTAGTTTTTACCTTTTCCAAATCAAGTGTAATGTGATTGATTTTATTCCATAGTGCAGGTACGAACAGGCTCACCATAACCAGCGCTATGCTGGAAAATCCTATGGCACAGTAGCCCGCAAATTTCGCGGACATCTGAAAAAGAAATTATTTGAGAGTCTTCAAACAAAGTTGCCCATCTTATTTATAAAGCTGAATGTCTGTTTGTATGTCTGTCTGTCTGTCTGTATGTATGTATGTATGTATGTATGTATGTGTGTACGTATGTTCCGAATAGAAAATTCCATTTCTGAACCGATCCGGACCAAACTTGGCACACATACACCTCGGGCCCCGGCGGGTGTCATAGGCTACTTTTCGTCATCGATCGATATCGATTTTAACGATTTTTATCGACTTTTTTGCTGAGTTCACCTACGGGGCTGGGAGTTGGCACAGAGGGGTAATCGAGCATGGGGATTCCGAATACAATATTGGTTTTCAGGATTATCGATTACTTTTATCGATTTTATCGATTTTTTTGCAAAGTTTGAGCTACGGGGCTGGGAGTTGGCACAGGGGGGTAATCGAGCATGGGAATTCCGAATACAATATTGGTTTTCGGGATTATCGATTATTTTTATCGATTTGACGATTTTTTGCAAAGTTTGAGCTAGGGGGCTGGGAGTTAGCACAGGGGGGTAATCGAGCGTGGGGATTCCGAATACAATATTGGTTTTCGGGATTATCGATTATTTTTATCGATTTGACGATTTTTTGCAAAGTTTGAGCTAGGGGGCTGGGAGTTAGCACAGGGGGGTAATCGAGCGTGGGGATTCCGAATACAATATTGGTTTTCGGGATTATCGATTATTTTTATCGATTTCATCGATTTTTTGCAAAGTTTGAGCTAGGGGGCTGGGAGTTAGCACAGGGGGGTAATCGAGCATAGCATGCTCGATTACACCCCTGTGCCAAATTCCAGCCTCCTAGCTCAAATTTTAAAAATATCGATAAAATCGATAAAAGTAATGGACGATCTTGAAAACTAATATTGTATTCGTAATCTGCATGCTCGATTACCCCCCCCCCCCTGTGCAAACTCCCAGCCCCGCAGGTCAAACTTTACAAAAAAAATCGATAAAATCGATAAAAGTAATGGACGATCCTGAAAACTAATATTGTGTTCGTAATCAGCATGCTCGATTACCCCCCTGTGCAAAATCCCAGCCTCGCATGTCAAAATTTACAAAAAAATCGATAAAATCAATAAAAGTAATCGATAATTCTGAAAACTAATATTGTATTCGGAATCCCCATGCTCACTTCCCCCCCCCCCCTGTGCCAACTCCTAGCCCTGTAGGTGAACTCTGCAAAAAAATCGATAAAAATCGGTAAAATCGACATCGATCGATAACGAAAAGTGGACTGTGACACCCGCCGGGGCCCGAGGTGTATGTGTGCCAAGTTTGGTCCGGATACGGCGGAGCCGGGGTAAGCCAGCTAGTTGTTAATAAAGACGGAGTAGTAGGATGGCGGATTTCGTTTCCTGCAATTCTCTTATTTTATCGTATAAAACACTGCAACAAGAGTCTTATGAGAACTTGCACGGACTTTGGAAATTGTTCAACCTTGCAGAAGTTTTTGATTCCATTGAAATTTATTATTAATTGTCTAGCATAAATTTCTAGAAAGTATATAACCATTTGTTACGTTCAGAACTGCACTATTCTTGCTAATTTTCTCTCACTTATGTGCATTTTTTGGAAGCAAGTCATTGTCAGTGTTGTGCCATTGGCAGAGCTAGAATAAGGTTGAAAATTTTGTATCAAATTAAGAACAGCATCATAAGCTCTGATACTATCAATTTCAAAAAGGAACGTTAAAACCACCTTCAGACACAATCAAAACTTGAAGAAAAGATAGCAGCCTGTGCTACAATGCAGTGCTGGTCCTTGTCTCAGGTTTTTTCGTAGCGAAGATTAGGGCAATCTGGGATCGCAGAAGAATTTGCAGCATCATATGGATTTATTCGGTGGGCATCGTAAGTATGCAACTGGTATTCCAACATACAAACGATAAGCAAAAGTGTAAATGGACATTGGAAAGATTTTGTCAAATTCTCAGAAAAAAATGAACTTGTGTATTGGCGGTTCATTTTTCAGAGTTTTCCTAGGCAGATACCAAATCTGAATATCATTAGGCTTCAAGTCCATAGGTTGCAGATAACTGAAAGAAAAAGAAGAAGAAGAAGAGAAGAAAGACTACAACGTTTTGTGACATTATTAACGAGTTATCAAGCTTGATTATCAAGAAATACTTAAGCGGAAAGTCGATGCAAAAAAATTCTAGGCCATTTTTCCGTACACATGTTGAAAATACATAGACCGCCACGCGGTTCTAACAACTGAGTTCTTTTTTTGAAAATACAGTAAAATTTTTACATTCTTTATTGACATTGTTTCTATCAATATCTTACATAACTGACGGGTACAAGTATTGCTAAATTTTGCAAAATAAAAACTTTAAAAAAAATCTCATTGGCCATCCAACTTTTTGCAAACAACTGATAGTATAAGAAAAACATATGGATGAGGAGGTGGAAGCACATTGCCAGTTAAAATGCAAAATCTAGCGTTTTAAGATTTCCTAGATGATTAGGACCGGAGATGATACATTCTTGTTTGAATCTTCAAATAATGGATCTTAATGAGGCGACTACTGAAAATTGCTGGAAAGCGTTAGCCATCGGTATAGCTTTTTTTTGTTGAACAATGAGGAGCCGAATGGTTTAAGACCAAGTAGGGCTACTAAAAGGGGCAAGGTCCTGGCGAAAGGAGGCCGTACAAAAGCTATCAGATCAAGTGGCGAACGCTGCTGTATAAATAGGGGCTTGACACGCCCCTAAACTGGATAGGGAGTCAAGAAGCGTTGGATGAAAAACACAGCGATAGGTGTGGGAGTGCCTTTTGTCACTTGCACATCCCCATTAAGTGCATTCGGCGCTGAAAAAAAAAATGCGCTGGACTTTGCGGAAATTGTGCGGGTAAAATTTTAGCCAGAAAAAAAGCAGCTGTGACCTTCGAAATGGTGCGAAAAAGTCATTAGCCCAAGAAACGCTAAGCTAACCAGTAAAAAAAATTCTATTGTGTTTTCTGATGGTTTCTTAAGCGTGATAATTGCAAGAATGCACTATGCAATTAGCAAAACCAGTCTCCTGCATGACCCTTTCCCTAATGTGCATCTCTGAACAGATTGCTTCGACGTCAAGTAATTTCGAGATCCTCTTCGCGGGATTCAATTCAAACCTGTGGCTATTTATCGTCTTGTCCACAGATCAGACTGGTTATAGCTTCAGTTAGTTTAGTAGGTTTCATGATTCGTACCGCTGCGTTGCTAACAACATTTTCGCGTTGAAAAATAGCCGTAGAGAGCATTTTAGCAAGTTTTGGTTTTCGCTCTCTACGACCATTTTCCACGCAAGAAATGTTGTCAGCGCTCACCAATTCTACCATCAACGTCAAAACTATCAAAAGATAGCAGAAAAAGGTGAGCGAAATTTCCTTTCCAGTTTATGTCTAATTCATTTTTCATAATAATTATATAAAACTTGCGAAGTGTAACTTGTAAATTGCACACTAATATTTAGCAAACATTTAAAGGTGCATTAAAACAACGTAAATGTAGAATAAGCTGGCATTTAAGATTTGAGTGAAGGTGTTTGGGGAAAAGATTACAATTAGCACATTTGAGTCCATTTTTTACACTTTTAAAGAAGAATTTTTCAAAGGTTTAGAGCAATTCCGCGGCACCAGCGTTGGCTTACAATTGTACAAATGAGAAGAAGAAGCGGGTAGATTCAAGACAAGAAACCAAAAAGAATGAGTTTTTCCAAAAAGAAAGTTTCATAGCACATTTAACACATTCGAAGTTTTTTTTTGTCATTGTCAAAGAAGTCACATTTTCCAAAGATGTTGTGACTTTCTAATACAGCTTGAAACCAAGAGTAAAAACCCGCTTTAGTTTGATCAGAAACAAAGGGAGCTTAGTTCTCAAGGCTGTAACCAGTTTCAAGGACACACAGAAAGAATCTTGGAAGCGGGTCAAGTAACACGATTCTTTGAACTCGTACATGATTCCTTTCTAAGATATATCCTGTAAAAAACAGGACAAAAAATTTTAAATGGTATTTATCCAAAGTATAAAGAGATGAGTGATAATGAAACAGTCAATAACTGCTATTGTAAGAAATGCCAACAGCATAGTCATTTTACAATGCTTGATTAAAAACAAAAGGATACAAGACTCAAACCAAAAGCAAAATCAAATGCTGCCTGAACATCCAAAATCAGTTTGAATTACAAGAAAAAATAGGTGGTGGATAAATCCCTTATCATTTATCAGAGAGGTAAGAAAACAGCAAGTTTTGTTCGGAGCTGTGAAGAGGACAATTTATTATCTCAAAAGTATTTTTAACCAGACAAAATTGAAGAAGACTTCATGGTATTTAAAAAGTCCATGAATGTTTTTCGAGTCATAACAGTTACCAATGAGGATACGATTGATTTATTCTTGATCTATTGTCTCCAAAGAATATGTTTAGCTCACCCATTTATTTATTTATGGAACATCTTTTATTCCTTATGAATAACAGTGAGACCTCTCAACGATAATGTAGGACCTGATTAGGACGTAAAAATGTAGTGACAAGTGATGGAATTGGTCTTCAAATTACATACTGTATTACGAATTGGACAAATTTTGACTCAGTGTTCTCTGTAAGCTTGCGCTAGAAATCCGACTGCGCGATTCGGGCTCACATCAAATTTATCTAACTCGCTGACTTTTATGGATGCTGGTTTTTTTGGTATAAAAAAGGCAAGGCTCAAATAAGGGGACAGGGCAGGTTTTACAATTGAATCCGTTTCAGCACCGAAATTGCACATACAACTAGGAGCCATAATCCAGACTGGAAGGTTTGCGATTAAACCAGTAGCTTGGTAATTGAGCTAGTCGATTCGGCGCTAGTTTGGTGTCAATAGCTTTACATCCTATACACAAGATTCTTGGAAGGGACTGGCCCATATAAGATGCAAGATGTTTAGACGAAAGTTCTCGATAGAGAAGCTTTGCTTCATTCAGCTGACTGGAAATGA